GTTGCCTCTCACACACCCCCAATGGAGGACCCTGTAGGAACCCAGGCATGTGCTGTGACTGGGAATCCAGTTGGTGACCTTTTAGGTTCACAGGCCAGCAGTCAATCCACTGAGCCACACCAGCTGGGGCAAGGGGATGTATTAATTTATGGAAATCTACCTGTAAAAAATGTGAGATACCTTGTACCTTCCCATATCCTTCCCTGGTGAAATAGGGGACATCGGCAAGAGTTGGAAGACATACAAGTTGTAAACTGGACAGAAGGGCATCACCAATAAGTTCGACTCCAGAAAGCTCTGTCTAGGATTTTATTAGACTGCTTTTTTCCCCAATATACCTGTATTGGAAGATTGAGACAAAAAAGGCACAAACTCACATTAAATAAGGTAATCTACTCAAGTCTACAAAGTGTATTTTGTAAAAGAAGTAGCACTAGGAACCAACCAAAATGACTCAGGGAGTCCCAGCGGGGACTGTAAGAGAACTTGGGAAGATTTACTGGTGCCCACAATACTGACCCTGTCCTTGACCTCTCTCTGTGAGAAGGCCAGAGCCCAGCACCACTCCCACAGAGGCACTGCAGCTTCCAATTGGGACTGTTACCCTGGAAATCTAATCAAAGCAGCGGATCTGAAGGGGCATGGCCCATCCTCAGATACTACCCTGAAGCTGAGCCTTTCATCACAAGCCCCTCTGGGTGCTCGCCACTTTGGGGGATGGTGTGAAGAGAAAGGGGGATACTTAAAAAAGGACTACACTGTTGCCCAGCAGCAACACTATCCGAAGGGATGGAACAGACCAGGGAAATCCCTCCTTATGTTTATGTGTGCTGTAGCCCCAGATCCAACTGATTTCAGGAAATTCTAGCTCAGCTCATGTGGATGCTTTCCAACTGGGGCAACAGGCGAAGGCGGGAGGAGCCAGAGAAAAGGCAGACAGCGCAAGCCCCCACCAGAGCTGGAGTGATATGTGTGGACCTCAGAGAAGAGCTGAAGGAAGGAGACTAACATCTGACCCTCAAACCATCCAAATAACTGTCTGCTTAGAATATTAACAGTTGTTTTTCCCAGGATAACCCACAACTGGACTTCACTGAGTTGACGAAGAAGGGAGAGCATTAAGCATAAATATAATTATAGCTGATTCAGAACTTGTAGGAAAACATTTACATTTTTCTCCAGTAGGAACACCTCTTCAACTTTCCCAGTCAAATAAATGCTACTAGCATTTGGGATGGTAGTAATCACCTAAACTGCACCTCATCATTGCTAAAACAGACCCCATACAGTGAGGAGACTAAATGGAAGGACATCTGGTCGGAAACGGGCTTTGGTGAAGGTCAGAGCTGATCATGTGGAAGGGTCTGAGTCTGTGCACCCTTGCCCCAGGAGGGCCACAGGGACACATCCTTCAGGATGTCACAGGTGAAATCCTGTGAGAGACTCCCTTATTGCACTTAGAAATAAGGCAAAACAAACTGACAGAAACGTGAGGATAAAATTTCCCATCTCACTTCCCGCTCCCCCAACAGAGATTTGGTTTCTCTCATTAGCAGCTGCACGCAGGCCAGCACGGGCTTGGGTCACGGTGCACTTGGCCAACATTACTTCACAAGGTTTGGGAAATGCTAGGAAACAAAACAGCTATCTCGGAATCTCCCGTCGGGAAAGGCATATCCAGGTTCTGCCAAGTCATAGGAAACTTGGAAGTGCTCAGCAGCTTCTGTTCCCCTGGAGACTGAGCTCTCCGAGGCCTACTTTGGTCGAGTTCTGTACTATGGTCACTACTTGCTTCTGATTGTCCAGGACACAGCTCATCTTAAGGGCAGGACGAACTGAGATCTTGATTCCCAAATCCTTTCCAGCAATTCCAGCAACTGGAGAGAAGAGGGAACATGTTCTGCTGGGAAGAAGCTTTTGCATGCTTGTTTTGTGCAGCATGAAAAGATCAGGATTGTTGGGTCCTGACCAGCCTCAAAGTCAGAGGACAAGAATCTAAGAAAGCACAGAGAAGAGAGGATTATTGCTGAGTGACAGCACCAGCCCAAATGGGAGGAGGAGCATGGACACACAGAGCTCCTGGGGTGCGGGGGCAGACTAATTGTATATATGGGGCAGGCTCAATTCTAAGGGCCACACTGGGCAGGCACCTCCAGGTGGAGAGCTGACCCTGGCATATTACAGTCTCTGCAGAGATGCAGACAGCAAGGGCAACAGGAGGGCTGAGAAGCCTTATGTACTTCTAAGACTAGTGACCAGAGATGTAATGCCTGGGGCAGGGGTTATCTTTATGTGTAAAATTTCCAAAACAGAGACTGGCTGGGCCTTTGGGATTTCCGTAGTGCTTAGAACACTTCAACAATGGGTTACTGGGAGCAGAGGTCAGAGTTCTGAAGCCACATTGCTGTTCTGTGGAACTGGGAGGGGGGAAACTCTGTATTTCTAATCCATCCCCTTTCTCCACGTGAGCACTCAAAATTGCAAAGATCTGCCCAGGAAGCAAACTACCTCAGTTTATCCCAAGGCTGAAAACAAACAAACTTAAGTCATTTAAATCACCACATCACAAAAGGCAGCTATTTTGAAAGACTAAAAATGTCACTTGAAAATAAAGGGGGATGGGACACACAGAAATGGGTTGAGAACACAATGGCTGGAGAGGGAGGAGCTGTAAATACAGCAGCCTACATGCCACATATCTCAGAGGAGCAGGCTCCTGCACGCACGGGCTTCATAATACCAGAGGGTCTATTTGTTCACAATATTAAAGGGCATCTAGAATTGGCTACAGTAGGGGATCGAAAGTTGCCTGAAGAATGGGCACAGAAAGGCTGCATCGGAAGATGGCCTGTCACTCGGGAGGGTGGAGCTGCTGGGCCTTCCTGTTGACCACTGTCTTGCAAAACTAGAAGAGAAATACAATTGTTAAGGAAGCAACAGCAACAGAGAAAAACAGAAACACTTTAAATCAGTAATTGGGGCATATCAAAAGGAAGAAGGATGCCAGTTGGTGTTCTGGGGTTACAGGGAGGGACCAAAGTTAGGGTCAGTAGCTCCTGAGAAACTGGCATTGCAACAATCCACTCAGTCCTCCCCTTTCATATCCTAGAAGTTCTCCTCAAGCACTTGGGCAGGGAGAAGGAGAGGTTTGCATCACTGCTGGTGAGACCCCAGGCCTCCAGCTCCTTGACGTGAGGTGACAGCCAGTTTTTATTTGATAAAATAATCTTCTCTCAGAGCTGATGGAGAGCAAGGCCAAGTTTTTCATTCCTGGCCGGGTTTGTCAGGGTCACAAAATGCACCCTGAGTTGCTGGAAAAACAGCAGGTCTGGAGGTGTGCGGGGCACTGGGAACAATTAGAAGGGAATTAGGGAAGTGATAATATGAAACAAGGAGCATCCCATCCTGGTCCTGTGACCACGGGGGAAATGCCTGTCAAGCTCCTGAGAGATGTTGCCTCTGATGAGGATAGCTACTTAGTACGGGGTCAGGGCTACAAAAAGGAAGGAAATGAAGCACCAGGCAAAACAATAAATGCCAACAGACTTTCCAGGTGATGATATCAGTTGGGAGCTAGGAACTGGCTCTGGCACGGGGTGGGGAGGGTATAGAGTGTCCTAGGATGCCATCCTTGACTTCAAATGGCTCAAGTTAGGAGAGGAAGAGTAATTAGTTACAAATAAGCTTCAATTCTGCATCCGCCGTGCCCCGTCTCACTACCTTGTCCATGTCTCTGTCTGGGTAGTTCCTTGTAAAATTACATGTGTCTGAAATGTTCTAACAGTCATAATGTTTTCAGTGGAAGCCCAAGAGCATGACGAGCCCGTTTAGCACGGCAGTCATTATTCCTAGGGGGCAGGATGAGAAATGAAGCCGATTTTCTGACTCCGTAGTGAGCTGCTGAGGCTTTGAGGGCCCAAACTGATTTTAGGACCTATGACATACACACAGGGAAACTGGGTACATACAGTGCAGAAGGGGAGGGGTGGCTTTAGTCATCTGCTGTCATTCCTTTCACTGGGTCCTTTTGTCTCATCTGAAACAGAAAAACAGAAAAAAATGGAAGCTCTTGCTGTTGATGGAACTCCACCACAGATACAGCATGCCTTCACGGTCCTGCCAACGGACAGGGTGGAGCACTTTGTGTGCCCAAAGTCAAGGAGAAGAAGAGAATTCCGCATCCCTACAGCCAAAGCCATACCATTTACATCTCTGTCACTGCTCCCACCATCCACGATTCCTGTTTCTCTCCGCTGCACCCCAGTGTTGGGGATTTGTTCTTAAGTTCCTGTCTTTCTCTCTTTCAATCATTCAACAGATATTTATGAAGCACCGCTTTTGTGCTAGGCACTGCTCCAGGCCAGAGGATTCAGCAGTGAACCAAAATGAACCAAGTCTTACTACAGGGGAAGTGCTACTTTGTAAGCGGACTACAGAAGGCTTCTCTGGTAAGGAAGTGAGTTGGAAAGTCCTTTGGCTCCCTGGAGACAGGAGGACAAGACACAGTGTTCAGGCAGAGGGAACAGCAATTCTCTCTCCTGAGCTCTGCTTCCAGGCTTCACCCAGTAAGTCAGGTGGGCACAGTGTGGTACCCACAGTTTAGCACAAGAACACGGGTAGAAAAGACAGGGGGCAGATCTCAACTTAAAAGAAGTGTGAGGCTGCTGGGAAGCAGATGGGTCTTCTCCGGAGGCACTGAGCACTCCCTGTCACTGGCACCTCCCAAGAAGTGGCTATAAATTCTTATTGGGCATATTGTGGTTGTGATCTTTGTCAGATCCCTTCCAACCTGGCAGTTCTATTTGCAGAATATCTATAACGTGAATGTTAACTTTCCATCAGATATACACAGAGTCCGGAAGAAGTAAAGCCTGCCTGAGTGTGGTTGGTGGCTACGTGAAAGTCTCACACGAGATGGACAGCAATTGGAACATTACACCTAAAATGTCATATGGTGTGCTTCAGTGTGATATTGTTACTTTAAATAATTACATGTTTATGTACTCGCTTCAGTAGCACATATACTAAAATTGGAATGATACAGAGATTAACGTGGCCCCTGAACAAGGATGACACACAAATTTGTGAAGCATTCCATATTTTTACAGAAAACCCTCAAAAAAAAAAAGAATTACATGCTTATGATTTTGTAATCAAAAAGGGGCGTTATTTGTCCCAAACCCTGTATATTTTTTATCCTCACCCAAGGACATGCTCACTGATTTTAGAAAGAGGGAAAGGGAGAAAGAGAGAGAGAGAGAAACATCGATGTGAGAAACATCAGTTGTTTGCCTTTCGTATGCGCCCTGACCCAGGACTAAACCCACAACCCAGGCATGTGCCCTGACTAGGGAATCAAACATGCGACCTTTTGGTTTGTGGGATGATGCCCAACCTACTGAACCACAACTGGCCAGAGCCCATTAGATATTTCTTTACTGTTTATGAGTTTTCTGTTCAATTTTTGTTCTTTATTCATTCAACAAATTTTGAGAGCCTAAGAGCATGATCTCTGGAAAAAACTGCCTGAATTATATTCTGGCTTCATCACTAATTATGTGAACTTAAGCATGTTACTAGACTATTCTCTAAGCCTCAATTTCTGTAATAATATGGGGTGTGGTAAAGACTAAATAAAGATACTCAGGTGGAGTAGTTAGCACAGCAGACGGCTTGGTGTGGAGCACACCCTCGGTACATGTTATCTGTGTTGTTATTTCTTTGTTCCTGGAGTGTGTGCATGCACACACTGGACTGAAGCTACAGCCCTCCTCAGAGTTACTGCCCACTAAAACTTCAGTACTGGCATGCTTTGCAGAGATTCTCTCTTAGTAGTGACAGCTCCCCACAGGGAAAAATTCTGAAAATATACTTCCTGACACTTTCCAAACCCATCTTTTGTGTTCACACACGTGGGAGTCCAAGTGGAACATGGTCATGGTAAAAAAAATTCTCCTAGTCGTCCCCATTATAGGCCAGAGTTTCCTCAAACATGGTCAAAATAACCGCCTGGGTACTTGCTGTAGATTCTTGGGTTCCAGGCCTGATGAACCAGAACCAGAACTAGTAGGAGATGGATCACTGGCCATAAAATGACTCACATTCCCTAGCTCCCAGCAAAGGTCCTCTGCTCTCAACAGGTGAGTCTATTTTCAGACACTTACTAGTCCCAAACCTCTGAGTAGGCTCTTAGCTCCACCTGGACAGCCTGTCCCCTGTAGGTTTTGCTCAAAACCCACTTTCCTGAATGACAGCTTTAAATTGCTATTGCTCCTATAACTTTAGTTGTGCACATTAATTAATACCTGTTATTACAATGTATTACTTCCTAAGGGTTCAACAGATTCAAGAGTTTCCAGCACGGAAGAAATCTGTTAAGGATAAGGCACTGTCCTGGTTTTAAAAACACAAACACCCTGTGGTATCAGGTTGGAACTGAGGTTATTTTGCATGAACACAATATGTAAAGTAAATATAGAAATACATGTAAATGTAAAAGTTCCCTAGCTCTGTCCTGTGAGGCCTGGGACAGCAGCTCCCCAACAGTGACGAGCACACCTAGCAGCCAAACATGCCCTCCCCTAAAAGAAACCAGGGCTCCTCAGAGATGTGGCTGAATATTAGGCTGAGTCACGGGAAGAACGAGACCAGCCCAGGACACCCTGTGGTGCTTCAGGTGATCAAAGGTAACCTTACCAGTAGCTAGATAGAATACAGAGAAAAGAACACCGAATCTGTGATATTCTGGCTTAAAATACATAAACTGGATCTAACCATGCAGAATCACTGGACAGACATAGCCAGATTGAGAGGCATTCTTCAAAGTGCCTAGGCTGTAACCATAAAAAATATGAAGGTCATGGAAGTGTAGGAAGACATGAGGAATGTCACCAGATAGACAGAGACTAGAAGGCTGCAGTGTGTGATCCTGGGGTTGCACCCTCTGCTTTAAAGGAATGGAGTCTCTTGACCTGACCATCCCGCAGGACAAAGGATCACCAGTTCAACTCCCGGTCAGGGCACATGCCTGGGTTGCGGGTTCGATCCCCAAATGGGGCACATATGAGAGGGAAACCATCGATAGTTCTCTCCCTCTCTTTCTCCCTCCCTTTCCCTCTGTCTAAAAATAAATAAATAAAATCTTTTTAAAAAAGAGAAAGGAATGGAGCTTCTGGGTAAAGGGGTATTGTATTCTTGCCATTTTCTATAAGTTTGAAATTCTTTAAAATATTTTTTAAATTTTTATTTATTTATTTTAGACAGAAGAGAAGAGAGGGAGAGAAACTTCAGTGTGTGGCTGCCTCTCACACACCCTCCACTGGGGACCTGACCTGGCCAGGAACCAAACTGGTGGCCCTCTGGTTCATAGGCCGACACTCAGTTCACTGAGCCACACCAGTCAGGGCCTTTAAAATATTTTTAAAAGACAAAAACACTCTTATTAAATGTCAGCTCACTAATGACCATTCACATACATTTCCAATAATCAGACAGATAATTTAATATCATAAGGCCCAAGGAACTTTGCCTTGGGTCTCATGATCTTTCTTTGGGCCTCAACCAGACCCTTGCTTGCCCTCAGAGTTCACTGCAAATGCAAAGCAAGGTCCTGTTTGCCTACTGCTTGAAAAAAGATGCAGCTTCCTATCAGGGAACCTCATAACATCCCCTACTCTCAGAGACAAGGTTATTCCTCAGGGCGCCACTGAAATGAAGATGCATTACTTCATTCTTATAATGAAAGGCTCTAAGAATGCGTATTTCCTGTTTCCTGGGGCCTAAGTGGCATGAGAGATTTTATCTGAAGTTTGCAGTGTTCCTCGGATCAAGCCAATGCAGGCTCGCTCTCGCTCTCGCTCTCTCTATCTATATATATAGTTGAGGAACATGGAAATAGAAACTCCTAGTTTGTTTGTTTTTCACAGTCATTTCCTCTAGGAATGCAGCCAGGGGTTAGAGGAAAGAGACTTTCATTTATCTATTTAATTTATTTATATGGACTTGTATTTTTTAATATTTTCTGTATCTTTTGAAAATTGCTTTTACCATAAAGTATGAAACACTCTTGCCATGGCCGCATAGCTCCCTTGATTAGAGCATCGTCCCAATATGCCAAGGTTGAGGCTTTGATACTGAGTCAGGGCACACACAAGAATCAACCAATAAATGCATAAGTGGAACAACACACCGATGTCTCTCTCTCCCTCTCTCTCGTCCCTCCTCCCCACTTCCTCTCTCTAAAATCTATAAATTAAAAGAACATTTTGTTGACTTGAAGAATTAGTAAATACACCCATGTCAGCATCCTGACTCTGACGCTGTGCTGTCGTTCTGTAAGGCACCACCATCAGGAGAAAGACCTGAAAAGTAACCACAGACCAGAAGCACTCGGGAGGAACATGGACACGAGGCACAGGCAGGCTTGTTTTCAGAGCCTCTTTGGAAAGCCTCTATAAATAGGCTCAGCCCTTTGGGAAGGCAATTTGGCAATACATAACAAGAGTCCTAAATTCTATAATTCCATGTATGAAATTTATTCCATGGAAATAATCCTAATTACCAAAAAACCAGAGTGCACAAAAATGTTCATCACAGCATTATTTACGACAGAGGGAACCTGGAAACACGCAGGTAAACTCCACGTTGGGTAATGACAGGGCAGAGGAACACGCACACCGCGGTCAGGAAGAGCTCCGTGAAGGAGTTTTTAGTGGGAAAATGCTGTTATAACGTTCAGAGTAAAAGGCAAAATATTCACCTGGCACATGTAATACAATCATAACTAAATAAAAGTGTGTAGAGAAACTGGAAGTGCAGAAAAATGTTTCTAGTGCTTGTCTTTAAATGGTGAGAGTACAGTGATCTTTTTCTTTATACTTTCACTATTTTCCCCAAAATGTTTAATGTTTATACATTATTTAATACTGAAAAATGAAACTGCGTTTAAAAAGAAAGGAAAATCACTCCCATATTTCAAGGTGTTGTACAGTGTTCTGGGGGGTCATTGCCAGGTAGGTCAGAGGTAACTTCGACCCCACAGGACAGCCTCGTCCTCCACGCACAGGGATCCCTTTGCCTTGAAAAACCTCGTTCTTTCCTCTGCAGACAAGATGGGAATCTCAGGCTCTAATCTCCCATGGCCCAGTAGGTGAGCGAGACACCAAGCAGTTTCTCTTTATCAGCCTAACTCTCAGAACTTATACAGGATGGAGCAAAAGTACACTTACCGTTGTTTGTAAGGAAAATAATACAATAATTAATAAATATAATAAACTCTGTGTTTCATGTACTCACACCTGTGAACCTACTTCTGCCCCACCCAGTATTTACTACGACCCCAAACTGGAAGCTGCATACAGTGATCTGCCAGGCACCTCACTGCACAGGTAACCAGCCTAGAGTTTAAGGCTTAAATCTAAAACTGATGGTGATCCTTCAGTCAAGAAGCCACAGGATGAAGCCAGGGCCCTCTGCACCGAGATTCGGGTGGTGAGAAAGGACAGGCACGTTGCCATGCAAGCACAGGAACAGGGAGACCGGCCTCAGGGAGGCTTGGAGACAAGGAAGGCCTCCCCCAAGGAAGGCCAGCTGAGCCAGCATGCCATGTGGCCTCTCAGCTCCACCACGAAGGACCAAGTCCAGAAGGGAAGGACCATGGCGAGACTGGAAGACCCATGGAGCCAACAGGAACTTAGAGAGGAAGACCACGGGGAAGGCTGGGAAAGGAAATGTGGTGGAATCTTAATCACGTGCTCTAACACACAGCATCTCCGTTGTTCTTCGGCCGAGTGTTCTAGATAGTCCAGTAAGTAGGGAAACAAGTTTTCTTACAAATTTGTAAATGAGTTCTCTTCTCACAGGCTCATTATCTCCAGAATTAATGGCCAAAGGCCTAGGAAGCAGCTGGTTCAGTGAACTGAAAGGTAGCCCTCACTTCTCTGACTCTCAGTTTTTTATCTATGAAGTGAAAATAATAGCTATGGCCCAGGTTGCCATGGAGATTTGATGACAAATATGTGCAAAACTCTTACCACACATGATAGGCACACAGTAAGACCTCAATAAACAGACATTAGCTTCTAGTAGTAATAAAAATACTTTTCA